AAATTGATTCATGTTTGTGGCTGTAATGTGACAAAATGTGGAAAAGTTCAAGGGGGCTGAATACTTTTGCAAGCCACTGTAAGACTTGCATAAACTAACATCACTACCCTCAATGTTAAACTTATACTGGTATCATTCAATTGCTATCAATTAATCACTTTTATAGAGGTCAGATATCCACTAAAGATATAATCATGTTGTTAATGTACTTGTATTATTTGTGCACATGCACGCCAGCCTGCAATTTATGAAGCAACTGGCTTTCTAATTGCATGACTGTTTCTAAAATACTAACCTGAATATAAACTTTTAACTGCAGTAGGTATTCAGCTAGATAAATAGAGAGATGCTGGTTTAGTCAAAGCTTAATCACATAGACTATTATCATGTCCTGCAGTTATAAAAATCAAAGACAAACTTAATGTGCCAGTGTCAGGAAAGGTTTACAAAAGCATTACTGAGACTGTCTAACAAACAAACCTAACAAAGAAGCAATGATATCCTGATTTTTGTTGCTGCGCTTTTCTACAAGCTCCCGTGCAGTTGGTCTGCAGTCAGTCTTCACATATAAGAACAGCCCACCTCTTTGTCTAGAGATCACTTTTGCTGGAGCACCATTCAGTTAGTGCCGTTGCAGTGGCCGTGTGCACAATGGTTAACTTCAACTTGCTATCATTTTTACTCTATACTCTCAGTAAGTACACCTATCTGTTTTTATCAGTAGTTAGTTTAGATTTGTTGTTGCCATTAAATTAAATTCACAAAAGTTAATTGACAACATAAATTTTAGGTGTTGTTTCGTTCTTTGGAAATTTGTCTTTTATGAATACTTGTTGATTGTTTCAGGTTATATATCTGTTTCACTCACACAGTTTTACACTGTGGCGGTTGAGCCTGGACAAGAAATCACACTGCAGTGCTCCAACTTCAGCAGTTTTGCAACCCACATATTCTGGTTCAGACTGGCCGACAGACTCAATGCCAGTCGCATCTCTTTTATGTTGACTGCTAATAGTCGTGTTACATTCTGTGATGGATTTCAAGATACTAAATTTAACATGACATCCAACACCTCTGTGCTATTTCTCAAAATTAAACAAGTGGATCCATCTGACTCTGGGTTATATTTCTGTGGAGAGTTGCACATGGGAAGGCCAAGTGTTTTCACTGCAACATATTTGAAGGTTCAAGGTAAGATTGTTCTTTTACTTTAATTTTTGAGTAATTGTCAAAAAGGCAGAATATCCTATATGTGCTACTTTTTTTGTAGTTGATGTTCTTTTAGAAGATGGGTTAACCAATCTATCAACTCTGATCCTCGGCAGTTTAACTGTTTTTCTTCTACTGGTCATCATTGGTCTGGTTGTTAGCATCAGGAAACTTCATACAGGTATTTATGTGTTTGAATTTAAACTGAAATTGCAAAGGTTTTGAGCAAAGAACTGATAGATGTACTGTTTCTGTCATTTAGCTCATGACGAGATGCAGAATTTGCAACACAGTGAGGTAATCTATTTTAACCTTGGATTCCAGTTGATTGATTGATATATCGTCTGATTCAGTTATTTAAACTGTTAGCTTCCATCAGTCAACAGCAATCCATCTAAGTTTAGGTTTAATTGTTTTAGCTATGCCGAAAATGCAGAAAACAGAAAATGTTACCATATCTCCATCTCTCCCATTTGGACGTTGCCAAAAGATTAGATTTCAATAAATAGCAGTTGGATGTTAATCTTATCTATTGATGGGCTGCCTGTGACCTGGTGGATGTCAACAGGTTAACATTTAATGCTTTGAGATTAGTGACTTCAAACATTTTCCATTACAGAATGCAGAGTCTGATGCCATGAACTATGCAGCACTGAGTTTCCATACCAGAACAAACATGAGAAGGCCTCCACCACAGAGGGAGCTGGAGCCAAATGTTTTGTACGCTGCTACGAGATAGACTCACAAAATAACCGAACAGCAGCACAAAGTGAAAGCTATCATATTTATCTGCTTGTGGAGTTCTGTACAGTTGGTGTATGTAAATCTTTACAACCACCTTTAACAAAAAACACTTTTTCTAATAAAGATTAATACAAACAGTAACTTCTAATACTTTCTCACTTTCTAGCTATCTCTCCGTCTCCCACCACAGCTGCTATGACTTTATCTGAGAGCAAACCATTGTGATTGGTAGGAGTTAGTGAAGATTGATAAATAATGGAGACTATTTTTTGTATTGAGAGGTAGTGAGGCTCTGCTTTAGTTTAATAGTGAGAGGGGCATAAAGGTGTGTGAGATATGTTGAACAGGAAGAGACAAAACTCTGTGGTCTGAATACCACGGAAAATATCACAGGGCTGTCTTGCAAACATTTGTTTTTTAGGTCATAATCTTCTGAGCGCCATGACTGTCTTAAAATGACTGTGGTTATGGTCATGCAGTGCCATTGAACATAAAGGTTGAAACCACTGTAGGAATTATACAAGGAGTAGTT